TTTATTCTTTAAACTCTTAATTTTAGTCTATGTTTGTTTTCCATTTTTTCCTTATTATAATGAGTTCTTTTACGGTTGGAAGCCTGCAACTCCCCCACTATGTGAGAGGCTAGTCAAAAAAATGTTAGTGGGGTCAACAACGGTCTAATTTCTTCTAAAAATGAGAAATAAAATAGCAAACAAATAGGGTCTTAAAGTAAAAAATTATTTATTAAACCGTCTATTAAATTGTTGCAATTAATGTTCGATCCCGAGAAGAATGAAAAAATCCTCGAAGAGAGGAGATATCAAATCTCTAGCAAAAGTATTTCAACAACCCTTCTTTGATTCAAGATTAACAGCACAACACATGAACATTCCCAGAACAACTATGCAATGCAAGTATATACGCTCCTTCAAAGAGAGAAATCGATCAATCACAAAGCACATCTATATAAAGAAACCTACTCCGCCTGGTCAAAGCTAATCGGGAGTGTATTTTCTTCAGCAGGAGGCCAGCCTATTATCCCACCCGCGTCTATCCAAGCGAGCTAAAATGCTTTATCATATTTTCTTAGCTTTCCCTTCCGAGTATGTTGTCTTGAACCAAGGTATCCACACTGATGTCGTCTTCTGGTACTGTCTATATGCGTCAGCCCTGTAATCTTTTTCCAGCATTCTCTTCTCCACAAGACCAGTCACATAGGCTAAGCACATACTATTTATAAGGGCACCAATAAAACTCCAGCTAGAGCCCAAATTCCATGCAAAAATAAACAGTCCCCACCACCATAACTGCTCCCCAAAGTAGTTTGGATGTCTCGAGTATCGCCATAGGCCTTTGTCAAGACAGGGCACCATCGGCTGGCCAAGCTTTTTCAATTCATTATTTCTACTAACGAAAGTGTGAAGCTGTGTGTCAGCAAAATAAGCAATGACAATGCCAGCCAAGCATATCAGTGCAGCAACTACATCCCAGATATTGAAGTCCTTGTTCTTTGAATGGACAATGTAGAAGGGCATGCATATTCCCATCAGAAAAACCTGCCAAGTAGCCATCGCAACCAGATTTTTAAAAAGTTTGAGGATGAGTCTCCAAGAGCCCCATTTTCTCATCTCAAATTTTATTATTGTTTAAATATTTGATTCATTGTTTTG